TGTGTGTGTGTGTGTGTGTGTGTGTGTGTGTGTGTGTGTGTGTTGCCTCTGTAGAACATGGTGAATGAGGGCATCTGTATATTGGAAATTGCATCCTGTTCTGAGAACATGGACTTTAATCATATCTTTCTCCCTCTGATCTCCTTCAGAGTAATTTGACCCCTAAACGTAAAGTACAGATCCATGACCAGCGCCCAGTGAAACCCCAGTTAGCACTGTTATACATGGAGTATCTACTTACTCATCCAAAGAACAGAGAGTGCCTGCTCTCTGCACCCCAGAAGAAACTTAACCATCTTTTGAAAGCACTTGAGATGTCAAAGGTAACTACTTATTCTGAGGTTGAGTACCTTTATATGGTAGTAACAGTGATGCAGTAAGATACACATTTTTTCATGATTATGGTGCTGTAATGTTTGTGAGTTGGAAAAGAATTTAGTCCATAAAGACTCCAGGTGAGGTCCGGAGCAGCGATACTACCAGGATCTGTCTCCTCATCAGCAGTGTTTAGAGCCCACATTTCTCCAAGGCTTCTGGGCATTAAGGCTCCAGTGTGTCCTCCTGCATCTCAGAACATGCTGTACATCCAGGCTTGTTACTTAGAGTTTCCATACATCACTGAGGAAATACTAGCTCCCTTCAAAGTGTTTAGCAGATTGTTTTCCTAGGAATTTTAGAGAGTGTTTGATGTGAATTTATGAGGCCTCTAATGCCCTGTGGAATCTTGTTCTTCCCTGCTGCGCTGGTCTGGACTGCCTCCTGTTGGAACTGCTACTGAACAACCCTTCTCACTGCTGCCTCCCAGGATGGTGACTCAGCAGAGCTTATGTTGAAGAAGAGAACTGGGGTTCCTGTGGGCAGTGGTCCCGAGCCCCCGCAGGCCTACTGGCTGGGTTGTGTACTGTTCATGCCCACTTAGCAATGTTCAGGGGCAGGATGGCAGAGTCAGGCTGCAACCAGAGCTAGTGTCTTTCTGGTTTACCTGAAGGTTAGGTACTTTGTACTTTGCTGTAGATGTAGTGGCACGGCACGTCATTCAGAATGTGGGCTCTGGGTTATAATCTTCCAGGCAAATCTGGAATCACTTCTGCAGTCTCCAAGTGGGAATCCCCCAAACTTCAACAAAGCTGCCGCCCTGCATGCCTTTGGTCTTCACTGCAGGCTGAGCGTCCATCTCCAGTACAAGGTACAGTGCACAGTCTTGTCAGTCTGAACATCATGATTCAGAGCTGCTTTTGTTACTTACTTGCCTCTTTCTTGTGTTGGACAGTTCTGCTCAGAAGAGAAAACTCATCTGTCCATTTTGGATGACACCGGCTCTTGGTTGGAGGGCAAAGTTTTACCTTTTCTTCGGGACCAAGAAGAAGAGCACCTGAAACTTCAGAGGGATGTCTGTCAGCAGGTGATCCAGGTCAGCACAGTCCATTCCCTTGACCATGTGTGTTCAGGATTGATTGTTTTGTTAAGTTGTTTTAGACCTTGGAGTTGCATTTTTAATACTTTGTGTGGCATTTCTTTTTATCAAGCACAACCTGCATTGATTTAATGTAATTTTATATGCTGCATGTGACAGGCATTTGGTTAGATCGGTGCAACTTCATAAAATGTAGATTTCTTATGGAAACAATGAAAATGCATGTATTTATGGAAATCCCTTTAGAAGTACAGTTGTAAATACTCTGTTAATGGTATTAGTCCATCACAGGAGAAGCTTTGTTTGGTCTGACAGACTCTCCTTTTAAATGACTTTTGTTGGTGAACCTGTTTCTTACAGACTTACCTGACTGTGTGTAAAGATGTTGTCATGGTGGGCCTTGGAGATCCTAAGTTTCAGATACAACTTTTACAGCGGAGTCTTGGAATTATGAAAAGTGGTACAGTATCCTTCATTCATTAAAGGAGCATTTCAGAGCAGTAAATACTTAAAAGCCAGTCCCTTCCCTTTCTTAACAGCCCTTGAAGTTCTTTTAGTCTCTGGTCTGCTTTATTAGCAGGCAGGCTTCACTTGACATTTGTGTAGAGACCCTCCCAGAAGGCTCTGCTAGGCTTGTACTGCTGTGGGTGGGGTAAGTTGGGAGTTGTGGGATAATTCCCCCACCATGATCAAGGAATGGTAAGTGACCTGTGATAATGAGTAGCATGCCATTTTTGCTTCTGGCAGACACTCAGTTCAAGAATGATCAGTGAAGGAGTGAGAGGGCAAGTTCCCTGAGCCCTTCCTGAGGGCCAGGGTCTCAGAGCCCATGTCAGAAGACAGTAAGAAGGGTATGAGTGATGTGGCCAGGAGGGTGTGACACCTGGAGCCAGAACACGTGATGCCATCTGACAGTGTACAGTAGTAGGAAGGGTGTTTCTGAGCTGTGACCGCCCATCCCCCATGCCCCTAAACATCAGTTCCAGCCCCTCTTTCACTTTCGTGTGGATTATTAATAGGTGGTTTTCACTGTACACCCAGTTACCGAGATCTGTGGAGGTTATCTGTCAGTGTTTGAAACTTACCTTTCTTTAAGCCTAGAGGTTTGCTGGGAGAGGCTGTCATCCATTAAAGTCAGTTTAAGAAGTCTAGTTGGTTGAGGTTAGCCATCACAGTTAGGCTCCTGCAGGCTGGGCACCTTCCAGACTGGCCCGAGTGTAGTACCATTCTCCATGTGCTGCTGTAATTGATTTTTGGTAGCTATGGAGCTAGACAGTGGTAGGCAGCTTCAAGTATAACAAGATTGTATATCGGTTTACAATTTCTAAAACTGGAAGTTCATTTCCTACCTAGTCCAGCTTTTTTTCATTGTACTCTATAATAAAAACTACATTCCATATATAAGCTTAATATATTATACAGTCAAGATGATTTTTTTATACTTAATTTATCATTTAGGAGCTGTTTGCACCTGAAGACTGAATCTGCTTTTTATTATTTACAAAATTTAATTTTCTTGCAGAACTAACCAGAATTTGCTCTCCAGTTAGTCAGTTTCATTACATGGCACTAACCTGTCTCCACTAGATCAAGTCCAGAGCTCCTGACTGGACCTGTGACCAGGCTGAAATGAGTGTATTTTTTTTTGCAATGCTGCAGAGGTCAGAAGAGGGCATCGGGTACCCCTGGAACTGGACTTAAGGATGGTGTTAGCTGTCATGTTGGTGCTGGGAACTTAGGTTCTCTGCCTGAGCAGCCAGTGCTGTTAACCACTGCGCCATCTCTCCAGTCCCTGGAATGAGCCTTTTGTTTTGTATGTGCAATAACTAGGGATTTCAGAATGCATTACCTTACCACAGTATTGCCATTCCTCTGTAGCAATTGCAAGGTATGTTAACAGTCTGAGCCACGTGGAACTCAGTGTCTACTGCTCATTGGACTTTTTGCCCACTTGAAAGAGACCATTTCAAGAAATTATGTTGATATGGGACTGGAAGGATGGCTCAGCGGTTAAGAGCCCTGGCTGCTCTTGCAGAGGACTTGGGTTCGATTCCCAGTACCCACAACCATCAGGAACCCTAGTACCAGGGAATCTGACACCCTCTTCTGTCCTCCATGGGCATTGCATGACATGGGTGCACCTACCTACATGCAGGCAATACACTCATACACATCAAATAAAAATAATTAAAAATTTTTTCAAAGTTATATTGACGTTAATTATGCTCCAGTAGAGCATTCTCTACACCCAAGTGCATCCTAAAGAGGGCATTCCTGATGCCAGGTGTGGTGGTGCACGGCTTTAATCCCAGCACTTGGGAGGCAGAGGCAGGCAGATATCTGTGAGTTCCAGGCCAGCTGGGGCTATAGGGAAACCTTTTCTCAAAAAGAGAAAAAAAAAAAAAAGAAGCCACTCCTGGGGGGAACGCAATTGGGTAACCAAGTGTATAATGCAGATAGTAGAGGTCTAAGTTCACAAACATCAGCTGTTGTCAGTACAACACAGTATGTACATCCTGAAAAGTTAATATAATAATAGAACTTGTTGGAAAAAAAGACTTCCTACTAAATATACTAGCCCAATTAAAAAGCAGTGTTAAATTTCTAAAAAGTAAAGACTATAGGCGATGTAGAACTTTGTCTTAAATGAAAAGTAGAAGGCTGTTGATGGAGAGTAATGTAGCTGGGTCTGTGGTATCTCAGAGAACCATGCTACCACATATAGAGTAGGCACAGTGCCGGAGGCCGTCCTACAGCTTACAAGTGAGACTGACTGGCTTGCTGCCTTCTCTTGTAGTAGCAAACCTTTGTTCATTGGCAGGTATTTGGCAGCCTGAAGATTAACAGTGTTGCTTCAGTTGCAGATAGATGGCCTTGAGCTGTGAACCATGCCTGGGCAGGACTCTCCACACTGACCTTACAGATCAGTAACTTTTGTGGCAGTTGCTCTGCATCCTTGCTTGCTAGCAGTTTGTCCTAACCAGCGTGTTGCATACTTGGTTCATAAAGTACATTACACCTGAATACAATGAAATAACTTACAGTTACAATTTTTAGCTTTCTAGGTTTTTGTCCATGTTACTTAGACTATTCACTTTGAGGAAGGGTGTAAGACAGCTCTTCTTGTCTGCTAGGTCTTAACAGCATTCAAGTTTAAAGAACGCTGCACCCTTCTTCACCTGCATCAATGGAGATTGTACATGACAAGTGTGTAGGAGCATGTCCTACCCTTTTCTGAAAAAGAGAATGGCTCCTTGAAAGTTTGTGTTGTAGTTTTAGAGATTTTTTTACAGCTTCTTGCTGATTCTGGCAGAGCCTTAGACCTGCAGAGGATTCTAGGGTTCATAGAAAGGGCCTTTGGGATGGGAAGTCTGTTTTCCCTTAGGAAGATTTGGGTATAGTTGGCTCCTATCTCTAGTAGAGCTTGCTGCATTTTTGTAGTCCATTTTATAGCTGAAGGACTTTGCCCTCCATATCCAGGTCCATTCCCTGGGCAAGTTCTGTGGTCACCTGGACAGTAGTCTTTCTACAAGGAGCATTGTCTCTGTGCTTTACTATATGTTTGTTTTATTTTAAATACCTCTTATAGTATGAATTCTGCCAGGTTTGCTATCTAGTGTGCATAAGCTAAGGGCAGACCAGTACCTGAACCATATATCAGTGGGACAGGATAGCATAGCGTGCTTGTGCAGCTTACCTGGCACAGGCCATTGGCTCTGCTTTTCTTATGTTTACCAGCAATATTGGTTAGTTTAAAAAAGATGGAGGAATAGTATGATTAGGGTTACATACAGAATAAATTTTGCCAGATTAATGTACATAGTCAACGAAATGATTCAGGAAAGAAGGAAAACTAAGAGGTTACTTCCAAGTGTTAGAAATCTATCAGGATATCACATCATATTCTGAGAGACCTGAGGCCCACAGTCGGACTTGTCCCACTGGGTTTTAGCTTTAGTATTAATATAAGAGAAAATTCATGTTTTTAAATTCAGCTCTTCTAGAAGGCACACTGCCAGTTGCTATGTGTCCAGATGCAGTGAATAAAGATCTTAATTTAGTGGCAGAATCAGTTGTACTACTGCTGCTGGGGAAGGAACTGGTTTTGTACTTAAATTGAGATAACTTTTGTTGGTGTGTTTTTAGAGTTTGGACTAGTCTTAGACCGTGTTTGGCACTGTCTCACTACTGATAGGCTCTTCCATAACTGCTATGTGCATGTATTAAGAAATTTCAACTGAATTACGTGCTTACATAATTGATTTTTCTCCTTTCTAGTGAAGGGGTGCTTTTACATTTCATTACTTCTCGGCATTCTGAAGGAAGTAACTAAAGGTTCCATAATTCAGAAAACAGATTCAAATGAAGAGGTTACAGTGCTGCTTGACTCAGTCCAGGAAGTATTTCAGAAGATGTTGGAATGTGTAGCCCGGACCTTCAGGAAGCAGCAGGAAGAAAGTGTGCTGGTATTGCACTTTAATTGACCATATCGACTGGTGGAGGGTGGCCAGGGTTGGATGTGTGGAGATTGTGGCTGAATCTTGATTTTTACTTTACCATCTGCTATAGGTATTGGGCCAGGCAGCAGCCTGAGTGTACCTGCATCCTCTGGTGCCATGCAGGCCCAAGAGTCTTGAGTTTTACCCCTGCCACCAGTCTCAAGCTCAGGGGTCAAGGTCCCATAACCGGAAGGACTGTAAACAGATCTGATCTCTGCAGCCTGTTTCCAGAGCTTCCCAAATAGAATACACTTGTGAAGGTGCTCATTTGGATAAGGCAGTGACTTCCCTGGAGAGATGCTAATTTCTGTCATCTGTTAATGTCCATGATTAGAAGCAACTTTGAAGGGACAGTGGTTTTCTGTTCATGGTGAAAAGCTGATAAGATGTGAGATAATTGAGGAGCCAGGTCATAAAAATCCCAGGTGCCAGGGCTGTCCCTAAAACAGTGTGAAAGCAATTCCTGAGCAAGCTATGCTTTTAGCAGAGAGAGAAGAAAGAGAGAGAAATTATGTATCAGTGAGTTATTATTATCTTTTAATTATGTATATATGTGTGTGGGTGAGTGGGTTTGTGCATATGATTGTAGTACCCACAGAGGCCAGAGGAAGAAGTTGAATCCTCTGGAGCTAGAGTTGCAGGCAGTTGTGAACTGCCAGACATGGGTGCTGGGAACTGAACTTGGGTCCTCTAGAAGAGCAACAAGCACTTTTAACTGTTGAGCCATCTCTCTGGCTCATCATCAGCTGACCTGAACTCACTGTGTAGACCAAGCTGGCCTTGAACTCACAGAGATTTATTGCCTCTGCCTCCCGAGTGCTGGGACTAAAGGTGTGTGTCACCACACCCAGTGAGCTATTATTTTTTAAAGGTTTTTTTTTTTTTTCATTTATTTATTTTTATTTCATATAAGTGTTATACCTGTATAACACTGTATGTAAGTATACCATGTTGTGTGGAGGACAGAAGAGGGTGTTGGATCCCCTGGAACTGGAATTACAGATTGTTGTTAGCTGTCATGCGGGTGATGAGATTCAAACCTGGGTCTTCTGCAAGAGCAGCCAGTGCTCTTAATCACTGAACCATCTCTCTAGCCCCTTAATGAAGATTTTAAAAAAATGTTTAAATGGGAGCTTGCTTATGAGATTTTCAATGTTATTCTAGCCTTAGCTGATGGAAGCAATGGAAGGCTGTTGGTTTGCTTTTTTTTAAGCTTAGTTCATAGTTATTTCAAGAGTCCAATCTGTTTATGTAATTTAAAAATATTTTCTGTGTATGAGTGTATTGCCTGCATATATGAAGTGCACCTGTGTTGTGCAATGTTCTCGGAGGCCAGTAGAGGACATCGGATCCCTGGAACTGGAGTCATGTAGATGGTTGTTAGCTCTTTTGTAGGTGCTGGGAACCAAACCTGGGTCCTCTGCAAGAGCAGCCAGTGCTAACTACTGACCATCTCTTCAGCCCTGTGTTTATATAAAATATCCCTATCAAGTCTTGTACCATTACTTCAGTAGTGTCATTCGGAATTCACTGCCTCAGTTAATTTTATGCCCCCCCCCCCTGTGTCTTTACTATTGATACTTCTTTTTGTTTGTATGTTTTTTTGGAGACAGGATTTCTTACTCTGTAGCCTAGGCTGGCCTGGAACTCACTTTGTAGCCCAGGATGGCCTCAAACTCACCTCAGTCCTTCTACCTTAGCCTTCTCAGTTCTGGGAGACAGATGTGAGCCACCACACCTGGTACCTGATTTTTTTTTTTTTTTTTTTTTAAACTGTGGGGTTTAGCTCTACTGACAGTGACTAATGTGATTTCTTGTAGCTCCTTTACTCTCTTCAGACCCCTCTTCATGAATTTATTACCACTGTCCAGTCCTGGCACAAAGGCACTTCAGTCCACCGTGGTGTGCTTTCTACCCTGATTGCTGCGCCTGTGGTTGAGATAAGTCATCAGCTGCGGAAGGTGAGGTATATTGATCCTGAAACTGCCTTGTCTCTTGACTGTACCACATTCTGTGTCTGCTCACAGTACTTCCAAGCTTGAGCCTTTGATGAGGACTGTACCTAGTGGCTGTACCTCACCAGTCAACAGCAAGTTAGTCTAGAGCCATGTGGTATTGTGGAGCATATGCTAAGGGTGTTGTCACTCCTAACTAGATGGAGCCTCATGATGTGGACCTGTCTGTTGACTGTATCTTGGAGTTTTGAATAAGTTGACTGATAGTTTCTTAAGAGTCTTCTCTCCTGAGGAGGAAAGCAGAATACAGGACTGCTCTGGACTGTGTTGATGTGGAATGGTTCATACCTCTGCATGCCTTCTGTGTTGCCTTCTTTTTTTTTTTTTCCCCTTCCCATTTCTAATCAGAGAAAATTTGGAACTTTTAAAAATATTTATTGCCAGGCATGGTGGCACACGCCTTTAATCCCAGCACTCGGGAGGCAGAGGCAGGTCGATTTCTTTGAGTTCAAGGCCAGCCTGGTCTACATAGTGAGTTCCAGGACAGCTGGGGCTACAGGGAGATTCTGTCTCAAAAAGACCAAAAAAAAAAAAATTTATTTATTTTTATGAGTATTATGAGGGTTTTACCTGCACATATGTGTGTGTCACATGTGCGCCTGCTCCCCACAGAGGCCAGAAGAGGGTGTTGGTTCCTCTGAAACTGGAGTTGCAGATGGTTGTAAACCATCGTGTAGGTGCTGGGAACTGAACCTGGGTCCTCTGCAAGAGCAGCAAGTTCTCTTAGCTGCTGAGCCATCCAGGAATTAACAAAAGACAGTGAGGGAGAGACAGGACAAGATGGGCACATCCATGCTACAGTATAGGAGAAAACAGGCGTAGGCTGCCTGGGCATGGGAGTGACGAATTAACCCAGGAGCTATTTGCACAAGGAATTGACTCACCAATGGTGAACATTATCCAGGGGTTGCCCTTGAGGATCTGGCACTAGGTTACAGAGTCCAGGCATACTGCTCCACACCTTTCCACACACACATAAGATGGCATTGCCCTACCCTACCGCACCACAGGAAGTCTTTAGGCCAGAACATCAGCATTCCTGATTGAGAAATGCTACTCTGGACTGAGGTGGAGAAAGGGTTAAATTGCCTTAGCATAAAGGTACATCGTTTATAGAAGATAAAATCAAGTTAAAGGCTATTTGACATAAGGCTTTATTTCTGTTTCACTGAGTAAAACTTCCCTGGGTACAATAATGGTGTATTTATAATTACATAGTGTACAAAGCTTGTTCATTTGAGTTTATGTAAAGTTGTTGCCAGGTAGAAGAACCAGATCAGTGTGAATCAAGCTGTCAAAATGTACTGATCTGAAACTTTCCTAGGTTTCTGATACAGAAGAACTGACCTTACCACAGTGTCTTGCTGACCTTCCTCCATTTTCAAGGTGTTTAGTGGGAGTAATAACGAAGTCTTCAGATGTTGTCAGGTAATCGTCTTTCTGTGGTCCTCGAGCACTACCCTGACTGTAAGTGCTCTTAGTGCTTTGCATTCTATTCCCTTTTCCTCTCTGGGTTTTCAAAGGTACTCCCCCCCGCCCCAAGAAAAACATTCCATACAATTTTTCTTCATTTTTATGGGTGATAGAAAATATTTAAGTTAAACTTTCATAAAGAAAATTCTTTCTGTAAAGTATATCCATCTAGTTTCTGATTATGTTTACCATAACTAAAGTCAGCTAGGAAGGGGGAACGTGTGCATAGAAAAATACTTCTTGGGGTTGGAGAGATGGCTCAGCTGTTAAGAACACTGACTGTTCTTGTAGAAGACCTGGGTTTGAATCCCTGCACCCACATGGCAGCCAACAGCTGTCCATAACTCCAGTTCCAGGGGATCCACCAGCCTCTTCTATCTTCCATGCGCATTGCACGACATGGGTGCACTTACCTACATGCAGGCAGTATACACATGCACATTAAATAAATAAATAAAATATTTAAAATAAAAGAAAAATACTTTTTTAAAAAATTTCTAAATCATGTTTTAATTGATTCTGTTACTATATATTATTATTATACTACTTTATTAGTTTTTATTTCTAACCATGTCTGATTTATAACTTTTTTAA